TGTTTGCTTATAAAACTGAAGGATAAACCATGGCTATAAAGCAGTCTAATACAGTCTTTTGGAAGGGTTTCTTATTTGAAATATAATGTTCCTCACAGGATAATGGTTTCCTTGCAATCAAGTGACTTAGAAAATGTTCAGAAGATAAAACTCATATGTATATTGTTCATACTGACAGTATAATACTTAGTTACATCCTGAACTGTAACACTACTGAACATGGGACATTTTTCTGCATTTGCTCAAATCTAAAGGTGACCAGGAATGACTAGCAGATGTCTGGTAGATTGCATGGTGCAGATGGTGTTGGTATACAGGGTATTTCCTATGGCTGGTTGTAAGCATGTTATTTATTCCTGATTTTAGATAGTGCCTGATCCAAATCTCCCTTGTTCCAGAAGGACTTGTCAGCAAAGTCATCCAAGTCAATGAAACAAGAAGAGTCTGGTATGATGAGTCCTCAAGGGCATAGTGGCTTACCTCAGCACCATCCACCCGGACCCCTTTCTGGCTCCATGCTGCTACCCCCTGGATCCCTCTGGCCGCAGGATACCAAGGTTAATATTGAAGAGATTCTACCTTGTCCTATTTGTGGTAAACAATTTCCTAAGAAACGGAAGTCAAACTTGCAAGTGCACCTAAGGACACATACTGGGGAAAGGCCTTTTAAGTGCCAACAGTGTGGTCGAGGCTTCAAGCAGAAAGCACACCTAGAAAAGCATCAAGAAAAGTCCTGCCATGTGTTGTCAGAGTATGTGCCTTATCCGTTTTTTCCGAAGATCTGAGCAATGGGGTTTCCCCATGTGCTCAGTACCATGATATAAGAGGCTCATGCTCACCGTGCCCTAGCGACTCTACCTCAGTCAAGCTGCCTCAGCAGACCCCGGGCCCATGCCAGAGGGGTGGCAATTCCACATCTTCATCTCCGCCACATCTGTCCCCAGACTTTTCAAATGGGGTGGCAGTTCTACATCCCGGTTGAGCATATGCATTACTCCATTCTTCTAAATCAATAATGTGATTGTTGTCTGTGACTGCAACTAAGTTGCCTTCTGTTATCTAAGTAGGGGTTTTTGTCACTGACTGAGAAAATATACAGCTTTAAACTGCTCATTTATAGAGCATCCTGTGAATCTGTTCAATGCGAGTTACAATTAACTACTTGTAAGTAATCAATATGCCTATCTGAACTTTCTTGCTACATTATGTAAACACGGGTACAACCGTCCGATATTAGTTTTTTATTCATGTATATGTACAATTATTATTGAACCCAGTGTTATCTGAGTTATCATAGCTGCTTGCAGCATTTATATTTGTATCTTACGTGTATATACATAAATATATATACCATGTGTGTACAGAGAGCATTAAAACATAAAATTTGGATCTTTTAGATTTAGTTTCAGATCTAGTTAGTGCCCTGCAATGGATTTCATCAATTCCCTTCATAAACTTACCCATTCATTTCATCTTTCCATTCTCATATTAACTGTGTTATATGTATATATAAGAGTTTATGTGTTGTATATTGAAAATGTAAAAGCATAGAAATTCCACAAAATTTAATTAAGCCAATATTATAGTATAGGTATGTATAAAGTCATCTTCAGTTTACTATAATTGTAATATAATAGTTTTATAATATAAAGTTTCATGTAATTGTTAACTGGGCATTCATTAATTACTCACAGTCAGTGTTCTCTGTTTCTCTGATTCCAAAGTAAATGTGTAGGTAATGAAATGTAAATTTATCAGATACCCAAGATTTGGAATTTGATACACATAGTATATTATATTCTGAAGCTGTTAGTCCTTTGTGCATCAATAAAAATTATATCTTTGGTGTCTTCCTTAGCCATAGGAGACACTACTGTTCAAGTATAGTGATATGTGCTTTCATATTTACAGTTCAGTACATTCCCAAAATAGACTTCAGTAGAGTTACTGAAGAAAAAGTAATTTTAATTGTGTACAGCATTAGTTTATAGATTTAAAATATTATTTGATATGAAATATATATTGATCATGTATGACAGTCCAAAAGTATATTTAAGAAAATAAAAAAATGTAAAAAAATATATATACAATATATTGGTACATATTTGATGCAGAATGGGAGAGTTAAAAACCCCTGCGCAGGGCACTGGCAGCAGCACTTTAACATAGCCTTTGGATGATATTGTTAATCATAACCAGAAGAATGTGTACCTTTTCATTACTTAGTTGTCAGAGTGATTAGTTCTCCTTGTCAATGTGATATATTTTTTTAACTGCCATGTCTGTGAACGAGAGAAAAAAATCATTACCACTTTTTTATGAAAATTATTTGTTTGTCTCATTTCTTTGGCAATGATTAAGAATTACCCTTTATTCATCTATGGTTGAGGTCTTGTAAATCTGTAAATAGATTAATAGTCATTATTTTAGTATTCTTTACCTATATGCACCCTTTATCAAGAAATCTGTCTTATCCATGAAATAAAACACTATTTTCTAA